CCCCCCCCTCTTTCTCCCCCAAGGGGATTATTCCTTTTGGACCAGTTTGCGTAATACCAGGTTCCTTTTCGACCTGTTGAACAGGTATATTTTTCGGGCTTCCCTTTTTTCCCTCCAGGTAGTAATCGAATGAAAGAACTATTATAGTTATTAGCAGCATCGAATACAAGTTGATCAATGAAGAAAGTGAGAAAAGTTCCTTGACGTAAGGAGAGGCCAGCCACTCTGCAGGTATCATCCCTACTTCCGCAGACATCTTGGTTTCCCAACAAATGATCGAAAAGTGGACCAATTTTGCCAAAACCGGTAACCCAAACATCTACTGTCCCCATGGACGGTGCCATGTGGAGCTCGAACAGTCCAGAGATGCCAAACTATCTGTTCATCACGTCACAGACAAAGCAGATTTTTATCGGGCAGTTCATCTGAAACTGGGCGGATCTGCGGCAAGTGCACCTGTTGGTTCAATCATTGACTTAATCCGTTTTATACCAATTTTAGCTCTTGTCTTTTCAAGAATATTTTTGTATTTTCTGCTGAATGCCAATTAAGAATGATATGACTAAACAAATCAAAACATTTGAATGTAGGTCACTCGTTTTGAATAGTTTGAGCGATGGCATATTGATCCTGGACAGCTCAGAGGCGCTGAATTAGCCTATCATGGATAAGGATAGTGAAGAAAACGCTACTGAAAGTAGAGTCTAGTGCTAATTGTGATGACACAATTTATGCACGTTCAACAGAGAACGACTCTCATTCAGATGATAATAACAGGTGTGACAGTGAGACATTGTTTTCTCATCTAAATACCCCCATGAAGCTATCTAGACCAGTGAGAGGACCGTGTGGTGACAGAAGAAGTGGTGGTCGCGCTGGTGGACATCATCATCATCCAGTGCCAGATCTGCGACAGACGTCGGCGATCATGGTTTTCTATTCATTCCTTTGCTCGGATGCTCTCAAAAAAGCTACGTTTCCCTGATCTTTCCCTGTTACCCGTTTGTTTAGGTTCCCTAAGTATGTTGTTCTGGGCCTAATCCTGCCTCGCTTGCCCTCAATTTTGCCAGTGAGAGCTAGATGTTCAAGACCCTTAAGTCTATTCAGGTGTCCCAAAAACTGCATTTGTCGTTTCCTGATTGATTTTAACATTGAGCGTCCAACGTGAGCTTCATCAAGCACTACCTCATTTGATTTCTTTTCCTTCCACGATACTCTTAGCAGTCTCCTAAGAAACCCCATTTCTGTTGCTTCTTTTTTAAATTTTCACTGTCTTTAGTGATTGTCCAGTATTCACAGCCGTATAGAAGGGTTGACCAAACATAGCATTTCAAGACTTTCTGGTGGACAATGCAGACCAAAAAAAAAGGGACAGCTTTCAGAGATACGAAAACGGTAAGTTATAGACAGAGACTGAGAGGGTTTTCACGGACCATCCATACCAGCCACTTTTCACAGGAGTTTTTCCACCATATTATACATTTTAGACTGACAGACAGTTCCGAAATTTTCTTGAGCAGGGGAACCACTCTTGACGAATGTATTGATAGAAAAGAGTTATCATCATAATCATTCACAACAAAACGGTGCACTCGTAAAAAAAAAACCAACAACTTTTAAACGCCCCCCCCCAAAAAAAAACCCCCCAACAACAACAACGACAAAACAACAGTAACAAAACAACAAACAAATAAAAAACAAACAACAATTAACGTGTGTCGTCTCTGCTGCCGATAAAAACAGTATGTTTAGTTTCACCTAACCAGGAGTTCACTTAGAACAATTTTTGCATGCACTCTTATAGGACACTAGAGGAAAAAATTCCCTGAATAAATGATTATCAAAATTAAAATAGAATATGCATATTAATATCATTTTTATTCAAGCCTCCACTTTGTTTTTGAGGCTGTTCATTTTTTGGTAGTTCATCAGACAGAAGAATTGATCAACCTATTATATGCGATCTTAGATCAAATTACAACACTGCTAAAATCTTCATAAACAGACCATTGGTGGCTTCATTTTCAACCCAGTCTATGGTGAAACTTTTAGGATCTCCATTATACACAAAAAGCTGTAAGTTTGTTTTCATTGTGGCGAAGTTTAATTCGTCGACTATCATCTCTTTGTTCCAGAAGGGATATTGTATCCCTCTGAGCATTGGTTGCCGCAACAGTTTTTAAGCATTCTGCCTCCTACATTGTCTAAATTCTTTAGACGGAAGCGTAAAACAGACACAAGAAGTTATAATGATGTTACAGATATAGTATCTTGCACAATTAATAATACTCCCCAGAGACGACCATTCAGAAAGCCATAATGTCATCAACGTCGCTTGGCATTGTTCAGGCGTCGTAATACACTAACCGCTGTGGAAGACCCTTTCGTTTGTATTTCTATCTTTTGCTTACGTTTCTTTTACTTTCTCAATTAGTACGAAGTAACAAGCGGAATTACATAGCAACCAAGATATTTACAAGAATATAGAAGCCCTTATCACGAGGATAACCACTCGCTGTCAGATGCGTCTTTGTTTGCAAACGGGGGTAAACTGTTTGATTAGTTGAATGAAGCTGTGTATGTGTGCGCTTGCTTGTGTGTGTGTGTGTGTGTGTGTGTGTG